AATGTGCTTATACCTAGTACATGCTTGAATGGAGTAGGAAGAAGTCAGACTTATCCAGTCCTACCCCATGACATCATCTTACCATCATTGGTTTGCAAGCAGTAAATGATTCACTTCTACACACACACATATTATACTAAAAAAAGAATATAACAGTGTTAACATTCTTACACCACACAAGTAATATACTAAAGAATGGTTACAAAATGTACACCACACCCACAATAGTAATCACTGAGCCTGTTCTTGCATATATCTTGATTGACACATACCTTTATATTTATGTTTAAACTCGTCAATTCTATTACTATTTTTTATGTCCACACTTAAATTATTCCATAGGTTTACCCCACTTATGGAAATACAGAATCTTTTTTTGGTTGTACGTATAGCATGAATTTTTAAATTTAATTGACCCCTTAAATTGTATCCCCCTTCCCTTTCATTAAATAGTTTTTGAATTCCACCAGGTAATAAATTGTTCCTGGCTTTATACATAAACACAGCAGTCTTATATCCCACTAAATCAAAACATTTTAACAATTTAGACTGTATGAAAGCTCCATTGGTGTGATCCCTATACCCCATCTTATGCACAATTCTTATCGCTCTTTTTTGTAATATATACAATGGTTGAAGTGAGCTTTTGTATGTATTTCCCCAGTTTTCAACGACATACTCTAAGTATGTGGATGAAGTAATTAAAATAGTTACATTATTTATTACATTTTTAACAGGGCAGCTAGTAATCTGTCTGTCAGTGCTGCTAAATAGATATGAAACAGGGTGTATGTTTGGTAACTGTCTCATTAAGCGCCTTATGTAGGGAGATCTCTGTACAGTAGTGCTACAGTATTACTTGATTTCCTCCTCTCTGGTGTTGCCCTTAATGTGTTTAAGGAGATTAAATATTCACATATCCAATGAGCTAACAGGTGATAAGAATATTTACTGACAGCACTGAAAGTTATACTCTCAAGCAACAGGGCTGGCTCACAAGTTTACGATGTACTCAGTGACTCTGTGCCAGTGACGTGTCTATTCATAGCTTTGTCAACCCCCACCCCCACTGCCCACCTGTAGCATTGCTCCAGAAAAGGCAGCTTGCAGAGACTCAGTGTGGCATATAATGACAGTATGAGGCTGTAGGTCGAGGCTCCAAGAAGCTGCCATGCAAGAAAACTGTTTGCATACGTTGGTGTTCCCACCTGCTCTGTTATAAGAAACCTTACTGATGTGTAGGTTAGATGAATCTGTAAACTGTATCACTTTGGCTAAAGCTACCCCTGAACAGGTTTGGTTGTCATCTAGCATGAGAAATAACTGGTGTTCCAGCGTCGACACAAAAGGTTGATCATCGTGAACCTTTTGTGTGCTCATAGTATGTCTAAGTATATATAATTACTTATGTACTGTATTGTACTTTATTGAGCTACATCTGTAATAAAGTTATAAGGGAAATATTGTTATAGTCATGTTTACTTGATACTCATTCCATGTAAGGTGTCTTCGTTATTTTGTTCTTTGGTGATGGACTTTATTTTTGATTATTTTATTAACTTCTTTAGGTTATTTAACACTGTCATAACAACCTATCGGTGCAAATGAACACGTCATTAAAAACCATAGTTTAAGACCTGCCACCTCACCTAAAACACAGACTGCGTCAATTTGACATACAACAAATATACTTACTAAAACTATCAAAGGGTGAAAATGTCATTTGTAAAAGCAAAGATGTTAAACTAATTATTAAGTGTGATATTTTTAGAGCAGTGCTTTGGTGAGTCTAAATATAGTTTATGTGCACGGTATGCATTAATGCTAGAGGCAGCGGCTTGTTGTACAAATGTGCACAAACTTTGTATCTCCTTAAATGAAGGCGTTGGGTCATCTCAGCCTTTCTCCTGTCACTATGTCCATCAACATCACCAGCATTGTCAGCCTGAGCACCGCTCGCTTTATTCCACCACCCTTTATATTCCATATGCAGTATCATTAGTATGGGCTTAGACCACCGGTGTGGGAGTCCAGCATCTTCACACACAAACAATTTGGCCAAACACTGCTTATAGAATGGCAACACATCCATGCTCACAAATCAGTAAGTAGTTTTTGATATATATATATAAGTTAAAAATGACTACAAGTTTTATTCAATTTCTTTTAAAGCAGAGCAATTTAAAGGGGTGATTCAGCAATGTAGCATTGCACTTCAATAAAGTTGGGAGACTTGTGAGAGATAGTTGTTTAAAAAATGTTCAAATGCAGCAGAGGATGTAATATCCTGCCTTTTGTTCCTTAGAATGAAGCAAGCCTCAAAGCATTTGTCACAGTGCAGCTCCAGAGCATTTTTCATGTGGTCCTCTCTGTCTGGTAAACACTCATTAAAACTGCACATTTGTAAGCAGGCTTTCTGTTATGAATGTGTTATTTTCTCAGACTTTAGAGCAGGCTCTAAATGTAAAAGTGTACACAGACATATGCACATAGTTTAAAGTGGATCCAACTGAATGTACAGGACAAACTGCCTGGCAGAGACTGATGAAGTATTACTTCACAGGGGCTTGATACCGATTCTTCATAATGTGTTTCCATTATTGTCTCCCAGCTTTATTTTTAATCATCTGATGAACATCCTTACTGATGGGCTGATAAAATCTTAAAATTTTCAAACCCTTTTCCTGTTTGTGCAGAAAAATGGGAGAGGTTTGTGGCCTTATATACAGTAATATTTGTCAGCGACACCATTAAGGTTTTGGACACTGTAAACAGAAAGCACAGTGACTGTTGGTTTGCTGAAATTATAGCATAAGTTGACTGGACTTGTGCAAGGGCACAATGCCTCACTAAGTTCATATTTAAAATCCCATGTGAACACTATATGAAGCCTACATGTTGTTCATGGTAAAAATGATGGTGTATAAGTGTTGTCGAAAGCAATACGTCAATTATTTGACAGAAAATGTTTATACAACAAGGAATATTTAGGCAAATGTCATTATCCCCTCCTGGCAACCCTCAACTTTTTTGCCAGAGGATGTCTTCTTTGATTTTAAGCAGCATAGCTCATTGGAAAGGGCTGCATGGTGGTGCAGTGGTTAGCGCTGTCGCCTCACAGCAAGAAGGTTTTGAGTGCAGAGTTTGCATATTCTCCCTTTGCCTGCATGGGTTCTCTCCAGTTACTCCACCTTCCTCCCACAGTCCAAAGACATGCAGCTTAGGTTGACTGGTGACTCTAAATTGCCCGTGGGAGTGAGTGTGAGTGTGTGTGGTTGTTTGTCTACATGTCAGCCCTTTGATAGACTGGCGACCTGTCCAGGGTGGACCCCGCCTCTCGCCCAGTGTCAGCTGGGAGGGCTGCAGTCTCCCCGTGAACCTCTTCAGGATAAGCAGTATAGATAATAGTATAGCGGATGGATGGATGGTTCATTCAAAAGTCACACCAAACTGACCTGATTTGTCATTTGTATTGATTTGATTCATTCTATGCTGTTTTACATTAGTACCTGCACTCTTCCAGTGGTACCTCTCAGTACACTGAGTGTATGCATTTTCAATCTGGCTGCAAAACCTTACAAACCTGGCTCTTTTGTTTGAGAGACAATATTGCTAAAAAATAAAGAAAGAAAGAAAAGAAACTGTGACATCGGTGTCTTGCTTTGAATTTGTTGAAATGTGAAAACTAAAAAAAAAGGATGCTTCTAGAATATTTGTACTTCATTTTATTGTGCAGCCATGGCATCTTAAGTGTCTGCAAAAATGTGATAGAAGAAATGGCTATTGCATCATGCAGATCATGTTTATGAGACAATAAACAATCTGTGTTGAAGTATAATTTGTGACTTAGCAAAAAGGTTAAAACACATCTACTTCTTAAAAAATCTGAATGTGTTAATATGCTAATCTTATCTATTTCAGTGGTTTGACTAGCATGAGACACAGGCTGTCTTGCGTCCATTCTCAGTGCATCCACACAAAAAGGTTCAAACATTCACATCACACTGTGTATGTTGCACACTGGACCATGACTGGATTCCATTTGTTATGTCAGAAAATAAGGCTTGTAACTCATGTTACAAGGTGATGCATGTGACAACAGCTTCTAGTGTTAAACTCTGGATATACATCGCTCTGCACAATGAAGCTTTAATATCCAAGCAAAGTAACAATAAAACTCACTTTTGAGCAAAGAGGGACAGGAGAATTCAAATCAATGGCCCTGGTTCAGCCACATTATAACACATTAAAACAGACTTAAACTGAGTTTCTGATGATAAATAAAACATTCTTGCTCTGTTGATTGCTGACGCATATAGCTCTGTCAAACATCTCTGGATGTCAGTTAGCAAATGTGTTGCACATTACCAAATGCGTGCATGTGTTTGAAATGTAACCCCAGCTTGTTCTGATGATCACACAAATTAAAATAATCCTTCTGAATAAAAGTACCAATATGAGTATAGGGAATTAAAATGGCTGCAAAGTAAGATGTTATTGACAAGTTCATTTATACTTAATATGTAGAAAGGGTTTACAACAGCAGAGGCATAAAAGCATTAGTAGTCATTACACTGAAATCATCTAGAGAAAGAAACTGTTTAGGTCTGTGATTCTGATGAAAAGGCCTGTATATTGACAACTGTAACATTTGAATTCCTGGAATGAATTGTAAACGGACTTTGCATGGAAAGTGCATCAGCATGCACAATCTGGAACATTTTGGGAACCCCTCTGGTAGATGATTACCTTTCACAACTGTTTGTTTATATGGTAAAAACCAACAGCAGTGTGGCCTGAAATAGAAGACAAAAATACAAGAGGCTACACACACGCATATACAGGCTTAGGTTTATGTACTCAAAGCAGGTTAAACATGGATTCACATCTCCTTCCACCTAAGCTTTTACGTAAAAATGTTAAATTTGCCGGATTATTCATTCAACACCCCGCTTTTATTTAAGTGGGTGAAAGGGCGCTGTTTGACAGATGCGCACGTCCTTTGCTGAATTCAGTTTTAGTCAAATCGAATTTGAACGCCTCCGACTCTGGAGATCTCACTTTAGGAGGAGTTTATGACTACTGTAGCTCTCCTAGGATCTTTACCAAAACGCTTTTCACAGTGAGAGACTCGGGCTGTGCAGTTACTGGAGTCTGTAGAGGTTTTTGTGGTGCAAAGTTCGGTTTCTTGACTAGTGAACACTTTATGGGAAATGAGCCAAACTAACCCACAGTTATCGTGTTGCAATACTTGGCCAGGGGAGGACAAAAAGAGCACAGGCGACGCTGTGAGTGTTCCCAACATGGCGCGTAAAAGTGAAGAAAGTCGGGTCTGTTTCACCAGAAACTCTGGACTCTTTAATCCGCAAGCCTGTGTCATGAAAAAACACAGCTGTCAAACAGCTGCTGCCCCTCAGGAGGAGTTGTTAAACGCTGGCTGCCGGGTGGGAGACAGTCCCTCTTTTTCTGCCTGCGCCACAATCTCAGAAACAACCAGGGAGCTCTGCAAAGCTGTGTCCCTGTCGCTGGGTCTGGTCATGGAGTCCAATGACACTAGCTACGTGGACGCTGTTCTCCCACCTTGTGCCGCAAATGACCAGATACGCGGGGACTATTTTTTCAGAGCTGGAGCCGAAGCCGTGCCTCTGAGCTGTCCTGGAGCCAAGGCTGCTGTCACCGAGTACCTGTGCCCTGACAGAGACGACCGGTCCCTGCGCAGCCAGGAGCAACACGTGGAAGTGTTCAGAAGTTCGGAGGGTGGTGCGTCTCTGCTTCCCCTCACCTCCACTCGAAAATCTGAGGATGAACAAAACTTCCCACTGTGCGAGGCAGAGGACATAAATCCAAAACAGACTGATAATGTGGACACAGCGCGTGCTGCTTCTTGCCCTTACGCACCACCTGCGCCAGACAGCATGACACACTTTGGCCACACGGCTAGACAGAGGCCCTGTCTGGTCTACAAACCCCCCGATGAAGCGAGAGACTTCGGGGAAGCCATGGAGAACAAGTTCGGTGGTTATCAGCCACAACAATACGGCGTCAAAGTGAAATCTGAGGACATTGAATCTGCTGGAGTGTCGTGGGCCAGTAATTACACCATTAATGAGAAGTACAACTCTCAGTTTTTGGGGTCGAGGCAGTGCGCGAGGGCACACAGCACAGGATCCAGCAACGCGTTCATATGTAATCCGTATGAGAGGAGCGTCACGCGTCCTGACCAGTGGTACCCCGGCGGGTTGCTGAAGCCGCCCTGTCCCAGCAATTACATGAAGCCTGATGTCGGCGAATGGATGGACGTCGCCTATAACGAATCTAGGTAAATAATAATAATAGTAATAATAACACATAATAATCATGTAATTAAAAAAAAAGCTGTAATAAAATTTAGGAAGGAGAAAAGGGCGACTTTGTTCTGACCTTTGGAAGATACTGCAACAAAAATCAGACCCTGAGCCTGTGCTACCAGAATCTAATCCCAGACCCAACCACAGTCTGGCCTTAAATGACTTACATTAGTGTTACCATAAATACATAATTAAATAAATATATATTTAGAATGTTATAATTTACCAGATTACTTTCAATATGTTAAATACAAGTGGGAAAATGGTGCTTATCAAATGGACTAATGCGTTTTAAAATGATACATTACACAGTTTGTGTCCAACATACATGAGCAAACCAGAGCTGATTGTGTTTTTCTGTTTAAAGTGTTGTAAAATGAAGCTTCCTTAGATTAGAATTCCTCACTTCTTTGTTAAAATACATTCTCAGCTTAGGTGTTTCTTTAATATGAGCAATTTCAAAAACCGTTTCCTCAGATGAATGTATTTATTTTTGGTGGCAAACCTCCACATCAAGTAATCATTTTAATAAACTGTATCTCTGTCTTCTCGTTCCGGCTGGATGTGCATCACATATATTGAAAATGTCACAATCACATTGAACCACTGTAATTTTCCCCGTACTCAAACTTAGCTATATTACATTGTTCTAATATGATTTTTTCTAGTCAGAATGTATCATCCATCATTGTAGGGAGATATTGACCTGCTGCATCATTTTTATAAGTAGAATAATATATAGGTGTGCCATATCAGTATGTGGAGGTGTTTCTGTTGTTTATCCTGCTCTCACTGGCAGCTGGGTTAGGTGCCAGTATGCCGTCAGGGTGTGTGCTCTAACCTGCACCCAAATAAAATCAGCTGGTCCATTATATTGCCTACAATTATTTTATTGCACAGTATTGACATATACAGTAGTGAGCAAAAGCTTCAACCACTACAGGTGTTTAGATTCTTCTCCATCATTTAGTACCACCAGGGAGGTGTCTGAGCGCACCCAGATATATTCTGTTGTATGGCAGTGAGCCCAAAGGAACATAAGAGACAGAAGCAGTTGAGACCGTGACAAGTTTCCCAAGAAGACTAGTGCTAGTCAAAGGATAGTCACACCAAATTCTGATTTGATTTAGTTTTCTTCTTGTTGTATGAAGTTCACCAATAAATAAAAACATGGCATTATTTTTGAAAATGTGCTCCCTTCACTTCAAGTGACTAAAACCTACAGTATATACAATACTGTCTGATACCTTACAAAAATGTGAGAGCACAAATGCCAAAAACAAAAATACATCACACGTCCTCAAGCAAAATCACATCATTATGGTAAACTACATACTAAGTGTATGTACAGTGTGTGTTTCTGGTAGAGAGCATTTCCAACATTTCTACTGATACATCTTTAATTTCCAGTTGTGGACTCTGACTGTCTCTGTTCATCCAGATTGACAAAGAATTTGAAGCAACTCTAAGGTATACCAAAGACTGAATGCGTAGCTCCAATCTATAGCACTCATTGGGACCATAAGCATTGCACAGGCCCAGATGAAAGTCTGAATGTTGCCCAGAATCTCTACTCATTCCATGACAGTTCCATTTGTTGGTGGTTCCTCAGTTCCTGCACCCTCTGTGTGGATCACGCAGATCTCTTGGACTACCTGCCCTTTTGCTCTCTCAGCCTGGTCACAGTCTTTAAAGTCACAGAGCACAAAATACACAAGCAACAACAATAATAATAATTTGAATTACAAACATACACAGTCACTGAGGTCTGGGGTTGATTGAGTCTACTCTTGAACTGAGGGAACAAATTTCTGAAAAGATCAGGCTACATCAGGAGTAAACAAAAACTTTAACTCCTTAAATATGTGTGACTAAATACCCAAAAAGTCAGATTTGAGGAAAAATATCTTTACTAGCTGTTTATTTGGAACTAAACAACCAGAAACTCAGCTAATGTGCTTCATCAGGATTGTGTGCACATGATTTAATCCGTCTGTCAGACAATTCAATATATATTTAGATACATTAAGTGAATGTAGATACATTTGTAACACAGTGATACACTGTGATTCCAAACTAATTTGATGCAGTTAAATATTAATTAATGTCAGATTCAGAACACAGTATTTCTCCCACACACACACACACACACACACACTTGACACACATAACTGTGAAACAAATCATTTCTTGTTACGCTTTGATAGCTGAACAAACCCCCCACTTTTTTTTAAACTTCTCACTAAAATGCTACCTGGATTACAGCGTTATGTCCAACTGGACCAAAACCGAGCAAAAATGAGCAATTACTTCATTTGCTAATCCAGGAAAACACGCAGGTTTCCTCTAACTGGACAACAAAACACTAACCTTGCAGTCAGTTGGAATTACTCCAAATTACAATACAAAGGTACAAAACTGAAAAGCTAACGTTAGCTTGCTAATGATGGCGGCATGATACATGTTGTCAAAACATCTTTCAACCACACAAGCTGGAAAGTATAAATGAATGTTTAATGAATTGCACTGAAGTGTAACATTGGCCATCTGTTTTGCTACTTTCGTCCATGTATACTTATAAATCAGGGATTTTCCTGGTCATAAGACTGGTTAGTCCTAGATATTCCACACAAAGTACCACATTTTTTCATGGTTATCTTCTACTCTGAAACAGAGAATGGAACTTAAAAACAACCAATGTTTGAGGTCAGAATTTAAAGCTTTAAGTATAGCCTATTTATCTATTTATCTATCTATTGATTTTGATGAGTGCACCTGATGAACTAATGTAATATTTTGTATTTTTGATCTGTACAAGGTAAAGATGAGTATGTACGTACTGTATAGCACCATCTCAGAAATCGTTTTGAGGCCCTGACACAGCTGACACAGTGGTATTTAGACCTTTACCAATTGATGGTATTTTTCTTCATAAAAGTCCAAGCTAACATGATTATCTTCTTATCCTAAAGAAAAGGTCACCAACCACCTAGTCGGCTTTATTCAAGAGAAACCGAGTCAGTGTTAAAAACCATGCTTTGCCATCCTTGTTTGACCAATAAATCATGCACATACAATCCTGTTTCCTGTTTCAAGAGTTATTTTGGTTTGTTTGTCCGAGATAATTGCCCAGTTACACTTTATATAAGCCTAATGAAAAACTGGAACAGCAAGCTTTACAAATGAGGATATGCACAGTTACAGATAATAGGCAGCAATGTGTTTTAGTCAAGTGGGTTCAAAACTGAAAACTGTCTCATTCCACTTCCAAATATTACCATTCTACATGTATTCTGCATCAGTTGCTTTGGGGATTATTAGCAGCTACCTTTCTTGATCTGAGCCTTCAGGGAGTTTGCTTGTAAATCTTGACACACATATTTTTCACATTTACTGTTGCTGGATCCCAGATGATGTAAGAATTCTCTGTCACTATTCATCAGCTCAACTCTTCTTGTTTAAACTGGCATGTCATTTTAGTCTTAGCCTTGCCTGGACTTCAGTCTAAACATGTCTACTATAATTACAGGTTTCATAGGTTATTGGTGTTATGCCTGAAATAAATCTGAGACTGAACAACAGAGACCTTACATACAATACTGAAGTAATTAAGATTAGATGTGTAGAATAATTAATATAGCATATGAATTTCAGTTCCCCTTTATATATTAGTTATTCTGTCATTATTTCCTGTGTCACCTAAATCCAACACTGGAGGTTCTTCAGTTAAGCTTCATCCTTGTCACTTTTACAACAAACCTTGAGATTATCTAAGTCACTTGGGCATCGTTATGTCTGAGCCTTTTCTAATCTTTCTGTGGTCTTTTTCACCCCCCACCTCCCCCACCCACCACCACCATCCGGGTTGTTGGTGATCTGATCTTTCCTACAAAGCCTCAGTCATCACAGCTCTGAAGAATGAACTTTGTTGTTACATATTAGACAGTATTTAACAATTTACTGTGCTATAGGAGTTCAAGGTTAGGCTTTATGTGTCCCAAATGGGCCATTAGTTTAGAGATAATATGGGGATAATAAAGATGCACAAAATACAGAATATTGAAAAATATGCAAAAAAGTAAATTAAAGAATAATACATCAAAGTTAGAGAACATCTAAAATGCGTTGTAATAAAAGTAGATTATATTATAAATATATAATCCCAAAGTGACAATCAAATTTGAATCAACAATCGAATATTTTTTTATCATACACAAGTGCCCTGCAGCTCTTTATGGTTTATAAAAGTCATGTTTCATGTGTTTACTGCAGGTTTGAGGGAGGCAGAGAGCACATGTTTCCCATGGAGTTCTTCATCACACCACAGAGAACATGCCTGATCTGTTCAGACGAGGCGTCTGGCTGCCATTACGGTGCACTCACCTGTGGCAGCTGCAAGGTTTTCTTCAAGCGAGCTGCAGAAGGTAAAGCTTAAAGGGGAGGCTGGTGTCCCCACCCTCTTTCAATCTTAGAGCATTCAGAAGCTAAACCTAAGGCTTGTATTTGGACTGACATGTACAGTGTTCACATTTTAATCACTCAAGTGACTTGTGGCTTCTCTGTCTATGTAGGCAAACAGAAATACCTGTGTGCAAGCAAAAATGACTGTACTATTGATAAGCTGAGAAGAAAGAACTGTCCGTCTTGTCGGCTAAAGAAGTGTTTTGAAGCTGGAATGACTCTTGGAGGTAGGATGGATTAATCCCATATATACTTGCATCTGATTTTGAAAAAAAACATTTTTTTTTCAGTTTCTTTGTAGCATCACTAACCACTGCTTATTTCATTAGTAACACCCACTATCACAGGTTGCATTTCACATGAAACAGGTTACGTGTACAGTATGATTATGCATTAAGACATATATCTTTATGCAGTATGGACTGTAATAGTATACTGTACATTGTGTGAAGAAACCACACAGCAGAGAAAGTGAAGTCCTAAAAGTGAAACTGTTAATGGTTTCTCATGACCAAGTACTTTATTCTTTCTACACTGCACATCTTAGCTGGCTCTCCCCAATTGTAGCATCATCACAATAGGGGATGTTACTGATAATCAAGCCCCTGACTGAGCTGCCATGCAATTTAGACCTATTCCATTCACTTCTCCTTACTGTCACCCAGACCTGCTTGTCATATTAGGCTGTAAAGATTGACATGTAGTGGACTAATTTTAGTCTTGTGTTCAATTTTCACTCTCCTCCATTTTCTCATTCTGGTAACGGTGAAAATTGTACTAGAAGCACAAAGCTGACATGAGACATGTGAATTAAAGCAGCAGACATGCTGGTAATTTTGCCACCAGTCACTGACAAACCCATGGAGGGAAAATGTGATCTAATGCTGTGATTCTTGGTAAAAAGGGATACATTTTCTAGTTGTGGCTTAAAAGATCCTCTCACTTATGTTCTCATCATGGACATGTAATTCACTCGTGGCATTTCACAGGAAAATTTATCACAATAATTTGTAGCTGTGGAGGCAGAAAAATTATACATTTGGTCTGATTACCCCAGGGGCTTTTACTCAAACTACTTTAAAGCTAGGGCATAAAATTCGCAAAGAAAAGGAGTTCAAATTTGGCTAATAGGAGTTTGATTAATTTGTGACAAAATTACAAATATATTGGCGGTTATATCAATTAAATCATGTACTTTTTATGCTTAGACCTTATCATTAAGATCTGCTGTTTGTTTCACTTGTAGCTTGGAAGGACCGAAGGGAGGTTATGAAATCTCTGAATATTTCTTTTATTGAGTTTGGAATTTGTTCAAAATTGAAAAGCATTGTTACTATAAATGGCATGATGCTTCATTTTTTAATCTGAATTCCACGCTATGTCTGGAATGCTAATTACATTGACAAATAAATGCCAAGCAGGGATGTTGCCTGTGATAGCTGTCTCATTTTGCAGCAACCCGAGAGAAGCTCACTGCACTTCTGCATTTCTTATATAGAAATCCATCATAATAAATACATTTTACAGTTTAGGACCTCAACCTCTGACTTTCTTGGATCAGGACAGTCTTCTTATAAAATTTCCAGAACATTTAGTGTTGCTAACTCCAAATTTACACAATGACATGCATAAGAAACACGTCAATCGGCGATTGACTGTTCTGGAATCAGGACTAGGTGGGAGCTCACGTCTCTGCAGTGTCCTCACCTGTCCTGAGATTTTGTTAACTTAGTTTTAGTCTTCATGTTAGTTTTGTCAGAGTTTAGTCTTTTGTATTTTGAAGCCTAGTTGTCAGATAGCATTAAAATAGAGAGATCTCTGCAGCGAACATTTAGAGATCATTTATGGTTGAATGCCCATTTTAATCCTGGCACTGACTGATAGCAATACAAAAGATAGGAAAGGAATGTAACATTACATCTACATCCACAGTGTGTCATGTTAAATCATCGTACTGTTTCATATGGCATGCTGCTGCATTTTCCAGCTGTTTTTTTTTCACTGAAGGGTAGATGAATTTGGTTCATAAACCTGTTCCTTCCAAGAAGCACCAACGCCAGATGACAGAGACAGATTGTTACTGAATGTAAGATGGTAGCTTATCAACAGTAGTGAAACACATTGTGTGGCTAAGTTCTCATTATCTAATGTCACTTTTTATTTAGTGTTAGTCTTGTTTTCATCCTGAAAAATAGGTTGTCAGCAAATACTTTTCATCATAGTTTTCACTGACAAAGTTAACACTGGTCCTGAGATGTTGTTCCTGTTGGTTTTCGAAGGCGTAATGGCTCAAAACTAAGGGCCTCCGAAATCATTGAACTCTCACTCCCTGTCCTCTGCCTTCTTTGCATTACAGCTCAGTCATAACAAGATATTAACGGGGCAATACTATGACAGTATATATATGTATACACACACACACACACACACAAAAGCTTTAAATCAGTGTCCTGAGGCCCTCCATCTGTATTTAAGCCCCCAGGTTGCAAACTCTTGGGATAATAAATCCAACTGCACTCTGCCCTCAGTAACCCTCCCTCTTTTAGGATTTCGTTACACACTGTATCACTGTGAAGGACAACTCAAATGTGGGTTGCTTTACTTATTTCAAAGTGCCTTGCCACAAAGGACTTCTCATCTCCTCTTCTGATAGCACCCAAATGTTGAATAATGAAAGATTTCACAGGTCTTGCCCAAATACTCACAGGCACCCATTGCTAATCGAGAACAAAAGGACAGAACAAAGGCACAACAGTGGCCATTTAGGCTATGTGATTATCAAGGTATTACCTCATTATAGCCATACAGTGCTCAAATATAAAATACTATACCTATGTTACCGGTTGCAGCTCAGATTATTTTATTTTACAGTTATCTTCCTGTAATTGGAAAACTAAAGATTTGAGTTTTTAGCTAACCACAGGAATACTTGGAAAGGATTGTGTTTTCCGATCTGCTCTCACTCTTCTTTCTCCTTTTGTCACTGTTACACACAGTGCTCCCTTATGGAAGCAACATTTTTCTTGGTGAGCTAATGATGTAATGATATCTACAACCTAGACAAAGAGTGTCACCATCCAAATCTGGATCTGCAAAGGTATACATTACAAAAAGGCATTTCAAGAGGAGGACAAAATGCTGAATGGACCTTCATGTTTTTGGTGCAATCAAGATCAATCTGGGAACCTAAAAAGATCATTACTGTATCAGTAGTGATGGCATCGAAGGAAGCAGATCAAAAAACTGAATTCACTGAGCAGAAATTGGGCAGTAAATTTCACCTGTGGTTTGATGTTAGAGAAAAGGGGAGTGTAATGGATAAATCTACAGCTTATTCACTGGTCAGTCTCAGCTTGAAACAATATAAGACACCGACACCATGCTGGTCATCCTACTGATAGTGACTCTTCATACAGACACTTGACAATATCTTGATTCATTCATTATTCTTCTAGACTTAATGTTAGTGCACCAAAGACTACACTTGAATCCATCATTTAAATGTCTCCTCTTGTTTATATTGGCTTCAACTCAAGCACAGGGACTTTAAGGTTAACTTAACCTAACCTATTTACACTGTACTCTGCAAAGATCAGATGCCTGCCAGTCTAACGGTTGAGAATCCCAGGGAGGAATTTTTAATCAACCATTTTTATGTGAAATATTTGTTATTGGATTAGAAATGGAAAATGTGAAACTGGTAAAATTATCCCTCTTATATAATCTGCTATTTTCTTTCAACCCTGCTACTTTTGAGAGACTTAAGTCGACCTATAACTGGCATTTCAATATTTATCAAACTGAGCTGAAAAGCCAGGCCACAGTTTTAATGAGACATTCTCCACACAGAAGCTGCAAGAAGCAACAGCATTACAATTAACAGTTAGTGTCTTTCAACACTGATAAAAATGGATTAAAGAAATAATATGTTGGCACATAGTTTGTCAGGTTTGTTTTTTGATTTGATTTTGATTTTGATTTGATTTGATTTATTCTTTCAAGCATGTAAAGACAGTTGATATGTCAACACACATAATTTTACACATATCCACAAATGCTAATCCATTATCAATTTGCTTATACCTAGTACATGCTTGAATGGAGTAGGAAGAAGTCAGACTTATCCAGTCCTACCCCATGACATCATCTTACCATCATTGGTTTGCAAGCAGTATCACGACATAAATAATTCTCTTCTACACCACACAAGTGATATACTAAAGAATTATTACAGAGTGTTAACA